GGCCGTACGAGGAAGCTCAAGGTCGCTCAGCTAGCTATGGAGAGGGCTATCCTCGGAGTTTCTCTGAGTGATAAACTTAGAAATGAGGATATCCGCAGTAGAACCAGAGTGACCGACATAGATCACGGATTAGTAAGCTGAAGTGGCAATGGACCGGTCATATAGCTCGAACAACCGACAACGGGTGGGAAAAAAGTTTCTCTAGTGGCAGCCTCGTACCGGTAGGCGAAGTTGTGAGGTGACCTTCCACTAGATGGAGTGAAGACCTGGTAAGACATGCAGGAAGTCGATTGATGCAGGTTGCTCAGGACCGGGCTTTGTGGCATTCTTTGGGGGAGGCCTTTGTTTAGCAGTTGACTTGTGAAGGTGAACGGTTGTAATGATGATGATGATGATGATGACATATTTGAGAACTTCTAAATATTTGCTTTATTTCTTTGGTTTTTATACATAGGACTTTAAGTATGACTTTAAGTGTCATACTTAAAGTCATACTTAAAGTTGTCACAATGGTTATGCATACTGTTGTCATAATGGTTATGCATCTAAGATACCTTTTATCATAGACCTTACTATCATAAGTCCCTAATATATGATTATACTTTGTGCAGTAGTACTATAGTAGTCAGGCACCCGGCCACCCCATATTTATGTACGACCTTGGATTTGCATCTCTCGCAACTCCGTATATAAGCAATCATTACATGAACACCCTTCAGTTATACAAGAACTCCCTTATTTTTTCAATTATATTAAAAATGTTATTTATCTTATTAATTATTGTAATATAATCGGCTTTTATTTCTATTACTTAATGCATTTTGAATATTTTAAGCAGATTTTCAATAAATTTAAAGGTTTTTAAAGACAATACTTTTTTTACTATATTACTTAATGTTCGAAATGAATGTATTTGAACTTTATGCTTATTAATGCATTTTAAAATTTTTGTAGGATAAAGCTGACAAGCGAGCACACAATCCACCTGATGGAAGGTAAGTGGTTGCTGTGGCCCATAGACATCTATATCTATTCCGTGATTACTAAGATGGAATGCCTCTTTTTCAGAATAGTAGGCAGTGTGTTCGCCTTTTCATCGAGAGTCAAGTTAAATGCAAAAACGGAACCTAAAAGGCTATTGAGTCGACCTCTCTTTGCAAAGATTGGAATGATGACTTACAGCATTCCCTTGAAAGAACAGAATGCACGGGTTTCCGAAGGAAATTGAAATTTGTAGTAAAGTAGTAACCAGTTATGTCAGACCATATGCCAAGGCAAAGTCATAAACTGATCTCCCCGCATGATCGGTTAAACGTGAACCGAGCCATTCGGCCTGGTGGGCGTTAAAATCGCCAAGGATCACGATCTCTGCAGATCGAACCTATAGAGGCTTCCGTAGACTCGGAGTGATCGTCGCTGCCTACGTGCGCCAACGGATGGGCAGGTCCGTACCTTCAAAACTGCCGAGGCGTCAAGAACAGATATTCTCTCTGACGGCACAAAGAAATATTCCAATCTGTACCCATGCGTTTCGGCCAAAAAGAGCAAGGACGGCTTTGCCGTCTCCATATGGTAGCGGTCGGTGTTAGAGTTTGAGTAAAGTCCCCTGATGTTGCAAAATTCCACGGAATTGCCATGATTTTCTGCTCTGATTGTCCCGTACAGTATAAGTAGTGAGCGGGATTTGCCTTCCCCCCAGATTACGCGAGGCAATCTGAGCACCTATGCTCAGGAAGAGTAGGGTAGATTTGGAGTGGATGTTCAGTAATGTATTCTCCATTACCAGGGGTGCTGGTACCCTCCATGTTATGAGGGTTAAATAAACCAAGCAAAACACATAAGCATAGCTTCTATTTCACGCTGGTATTCTCTGAGGTCGTTATGCTGCCGCGTGATTTTACCACTGTTAGACTTCTACTAATGTTCCTTACATACACGTCAAATGTTAACCCATTGCCGCATCCCCAATCTTGATGAGTTAGATTTATATATTTTTAAAGTCCTGCTATATTTCTGGAAAAGGACAAACTTTCTTGCAACCAGTTACCAAATTCGTAAGTCTCCGACGCCCGTTACCTATATTTGCACAGTCTCTCTGTTTTTTTTTTCAAATCTCTTAGCTAGTTTACTGAGTTTCGGTACATAGTTTACTCTTGAGTAGTTCATAATCCACTATGAACCATGCACACCATGTAGCACGTTTCGTTTTTCTCACTGTTTTTGCTTTTCCAAATATGATCTTTAAACTGTTAATTGTTAAGCGAAACACAGTATGGTATATCGGCTAATGGCTAAAACTAAACACATTATATACTTAAGAACCTTTGTGATGCCCATCACGCAGTTTTGCGCGTTACCTTAGATGTAATTTTAATAAAGTTACGTAATACGTAAATGAACATGCCTTTACTTTTCCTCCTATATCTCAGCTAAAAAAATCCAAATATATTCAAATTCTCACTACACTGAAACAGATGATGGGCAGCAGAATCCTTTTGATAACAGCAAGACTACAATAAAAAAATGCTGTTGCCAACCCGCTTGCGGGTTCTTGGCATCTCTCCATGAGTGACGACATTTCATGTTTATGTTCAGCAGTTGAATTGTAAAAGGGCTGAAATAATGATGATCTCACTTACTGATTGTGAATATACCTTTACTTTTATATTGCTTAAACACGGGCTCAGAAATGTATGAGAAAGCATTGGTTTCTTTTGTAATATAAATAGGCAATAATTTATCGTAATAAGTAATTATAAGGGGCAAGTCTTTAGTAAATATTAACATTATTCTAACTTTGTATGACAAATAAGCATATGCTATTCTACTCATAAGATAATCAAGTTTTGGTTAGATGTATCATGCCTGAATAAGATTAATTAGGCGCCTGAAAATATTAATATAAGCCTGCAAATTAGTGCTATGCGACATTAAATTTACTGTTTCATAGACAAATCAGTTTACGTAATATAAATTCAAGATTGTTCAAATCAAATCAAAAGATAGAATATCTGAAATGCTAGCTTTGTGTACAATTGAAATAAGCAAAATTAAGTCAGTAACGCGACAACGTTAAGAAGATGGCTAACAGACAGAGCTTGGAATGTAATCAATCACAACGTGCACAATCACACATCCTGCTACACCACATCATCAATCAAAGTAGAGGGATTGAAGAAGAAATGAAATGTAGCACGGACATTATTGCTGTTTGATATTTACGTATTTATTAATTGGTCTCTTTTTTATTATTGAATAAGGATGACAAACGAGCACTCAGTTCACCTCATGATAAGTGAATTCACCATAGACAACTACATATTTTTCAGTTAAGAATCAAAATGGCTAAGGTCGAATGCCTCATTTCCATTAATTTGGGTCGGGTGTAAATAAAGAAACACAAAGCAATTAACTAAGTGTCTATCTAGCAACTTTTTACTTCATCATCATCAATACACAGCCCTTCACAAAACCACTGCTGAACCAAAAGAATGCCACAAAGCACGGTCCTGAGCCACCTGCATCCATCGACTTCCTGCATGTCTTACTAGGTCGTCAATCCATCTAGTGGGATACGCCCCGCACAGCGCTTACCGTTACGAGGCTGCCACTCGAGAACCTTGCTTCCCCATCGATTGTCAGTTTTTCGAGCTATATGGCAGGCCCATTGCCCCTTCAGTTTACTAATCCATCATTTTTTAATGTTCACGTACTAGTTCATAAAACTGTGTTCGTGACTTTGAAAATGTATTATTTATGTGTTTTAAGTTTAGCGCACTCTATTGTATTAACAGGTTGTGTCATCTACAGGGAAAACATTTATAAAGTTTTACTAAAATAAATCGATTACACAACGCATAAAATCGATATAGGCTACATTTATTATTTGTCTATCAAGGGCTAAAAAAATATGAAAGCGCCTTCAAATATTGAATAGCAATAAAACTTATAAAAGCCGACAATAATTTAATTAACAAACTATGTGTACTAGGGTTTTGATATGAAATAGGGAACTAGTTGGTTTAATTTTGAAGGTAATAAAAAAAGGGGGTCTCCAATACGTCATTTTCTCGGGAGTTACCTTGACCACATACAAAATCAACATCCAGCAATATAAAATGATTTTTTGAAAATATAACATGGACTTATTAGAGTACCTAGTCAGGTCATAAGTATTGTCACACAGTAAAAACTTTTCTTTTAGAATGCTGGCCACAAAAAAGTTTATTGAATTCGAATTTCGAATTGTTCATGAAAATAAAACTGTATACTTTTTAGAATTTTACTCATTTTTAAATATGGAGTGGACGCTTAAAGAAGACCGTGTTGCAGTTATTGCGTTGCATCGTTGCGGTTACGCGCCAATTCAAATTTTTGACATACTGAAAAATTTGAATATAACCAAAAGATTCGTTTATCGTACCATCAAACGATACAATGAAGACTCTAGTGTAGATGACAGGTCAAGAAGTGGTCGCCCTCGGTCTGTTAGGACTACAGCAGTGATAAAAGCTGTGAAGGCGCGAATTCAAAGAAATCCCAAACGTAAGCAGAAACTTTTGGCCCTTCAGATGGGGTTAGAACCACGGTGAAAAGGGTGTTAAATGAAGACTTAGGGCTTCGGGCATATCGAAGAAAAACAGGACATCGTTTGAATGCTCGTCTAATGGACCTGAGACTGAAGAGATGCCGCGCTTTGTTGAAGCGGTACGCGGGAAGAAAAATATCGGGAAATTCTTTTTTCGGATGAAAAAATTTTTACCGTAGAAGAGAGCTACAACAAACAAAATGATAAGGTGTACGCACACAGTAGTGAAGAAGCGAGCAACCGTATTCCGCGTGTCCAACGAGGTCATTTTCCATCCTCGCTCATGGTATGGTTAGGAGTTTCTTATTGGGGCTTAACAGAGGTACACTTTTGTGAGAAAGGTGTAAAAACGAATGCAGTTGTGTATCAAATTACAGTCCTGATGAACCTTGTGGAACCTGTTTCTCATACCATGTTCAATAACAGGCACTGGGTATTCCAACAAGATTCGGCGCCAGCTCATAGAGCGAAGAGCACACAACACTGGCTGGCGGCGCGTGAATTCGACTTCATCCGGCACGAAGACTGGCCCTCATCCGGTCCAGATTTGAATCCGTTAGATTACAAGATATGGCAACACTTGGAGGAAAAGGCGTGCTCAAAGCCTCATCCCAATTTGGAGTCACTCAAGACATCCTTGAATAAGGCAGCCGCCGATATTGACATGGACCTCGTTCGTGCTGCGATAGACGACTGGCCGCGCAGATTGAAGGCCTGTATTCAAAATCACGGAAGTCATTTTGAATAAACTTTAGTGTCATAAGAATCTATTTTTTTTAAGTTCATTTTTGTATATAAATGGTTACATAATGAATAAACTTGTTTCAATTATTTTATATTAAACATGTGACAGAATTTATGACTTGACTAGGTATTTTCTTGATATACGGCTACTCATATTATCGTAAAAGTGCAATACGGATATGATAGAGACATTTTAAGAATACAAAATTGCTTGACCTTAAAGTGTCGAGAGTAAAGCACTACCTAAAAACACTTTGCGTAATAAAGCGTGCAATACTTGACTGATGATTTTGATATATTACGTATCAAAATCGTCGTAAAACTATTATTTAAACGATAAAACGGAAGCAACAACCCGCTAGCGGTAAAATTCCCACCATAATCCCGTAGCCTCGCTAACAACTAGAGGAAATATAATTTTGATAATATGCAAATATATATATATATATATATATATATATTATATGTATTACTAATTTTTAAAAGTCGATTATCTTTACATCACTAAAGAATGGGCGGAGCTTACAGCGTCCGACATTTATTTATTGTTTTAATTTAACACGAGTTTTGTAAGTTTTCCATCACTTCTATTTTTTCTATGCTTGAAGATTACGGACTACTTGTTTGGGAGAGACCCATAAATATTTTATTATTAGTTTGTTAAGAAGTTTTTTTATAGTTTATTATTTTATGACATTTCATCGCAGGCTCTGTTTGAGTAATGCTGATATAATACATTTAATACATAATTTTAAGTTAGTAGTCCTGTAATCTCTATATATAAAATGAATTGCTGTCCGTTAATCTCGTTAAAACTCAATGAAAATGCTGTTATTTTTGTGTGTATTTGAATGTGTCCCTAGATGGGTAAAATTCATATTTGAACCTGTTAGGTGGCGCTGTTGAGATGCAGAAATTACCCGTGCGAAGCCGGGGCGTTTGTCTGCTCTATAACATTTTTATTTATTTTTTTATTTTGTACCACACCGTTCTCAGTTAATAAATGTAACTAAATAGTAGCTATTCTAGTGATTTCCCTAATAAAGTACCATGTTTCAACATAGTAAAATATATATATATATATATATATATATATATATATATATATAAAAATGGTGCACAATATATCGGCACGTTTCATTTCATTAAAAAAATGTGCTTTAGACTTTTTACTTTAAACTTCTGTTTAATTCTTCTGGGTTTCGTGTGGTGAGTATAAAGAACCGGAGACCCCTTTTTAAGGTTCCTTACCCACAGAGTAACCAACGAGACCCTATTAATAAACCTCCGATATTAGTCCATCGGTCCGTCCGTCCATCCGTCCTTCCGCCCTTCTATCTGTCAGCGGGCTTTATATTATTATCCGTAATAGGTATACAGTTGAAATTTCCACAGAATGTGTATTTCTGTTGCCGCTATTACAACAAATAATAAAAATATAAATTAATCAAAAAAAAGGGGGCTCCTCTATTAGAAACGTGTATTACGATGGTACTGAAACCTTCATGCGCAAGTCTGACTCGCACTTGGCCGGTTTTATCTGGAAACGAGGCATTCCACCGTAGTGCTCACGGGTGACAACGCATCTGCAATGTGATTCGTAGTCGAAGATAGATGTAGATTTCTACGGGCCACAGCAACTACGTTCGATCAGGGGGGCTGTATGCTTGTTTGTCACCCTTACCTTACAAATATTTATAAGAAAAACATTATATTGACATAAAAAGTAAACTGAATTAGTTTTTTACATTTTTTATTTGTATTTTCGTAGTAAACAGTTTAGTTTTCGATTTTTCTCCATAGAACTAACATAATTCCATCATGCACAGAAAGTTTTTCAGAAACATTTTTTTTTAGAAAAAATACAATATTAAACCACAATTCCCATTAAAAGTGAAAGTGATATCTGTAGTCCAAGTTCTTCTCCTGCGCTCTTTTCGAACCAAGTCGTAACCAAGTGTCATTATAAGTGCTACTTTAACTCGCCTGAATATGAGTAGGAAAATATCGTGAATGTCGGAGAAATAAAAGTAAGTACAGAATGAGGATTATTATAGAAAATATTTCTTATATATTTTTTTGTTTTTTAAAAATGTTACCCCCACACTAGGATTTTCTCCTGTATCGTGGAGGCAGTTTACAAACACAAATTGCACAAGGACAAGCATCCAGACCCGGAACAATTATTTGTAGGCCATACAATTACTTGTTCCGTCCCCTCAGCGCAGCAACTAATTGCCAAGCCATTGCGCCACGGAGCCGTCTATATATTTCTTATTCTTTTCTTATTATTATATTCTCATTATTCCAGATTGCATTCCGGTCACGGCGTTTAGTCTTAACGGAGACAGGCCATCGCCGGAGGATAATAGGATTAGGTATAGTGATTAGGTATGTAGCTTGTGCTCAAGCACAAGTGGGCTCCCTATTTCCTGACTCTCATAGTCTGATGAGACCGCGAATGCGGTATGACAAGATTGTGGTTAGGCGAAGTACCAACGGCTTATAGGTTCTTTTCAAGGCACTAGGGTAAAACAACGTGAACTTCCTGACTTTGAGCTACTTCTTTCGCTAAAAACACTCAATAACTGATTTTGACCAGGCCCAGGATTCGAACCCTCGCGCTTAGGAACATTAGACCAACGCGGTAGTCAGTAACATGATATGGGAAGTTTGTTAATGCTTGCATTAACGTAGCAAGACGGCATGTGGTTTATACGTAAAGTAGTAATTAGTGTAGGGGCCTACATCTGCACGTAGGCTATAATGATTATTTTATAGAGGACATACATTTTATATAAAAAGCTATTTTTAACAATAAGAGAACACTGTAACAGTAAGAGAATCCACTGACATCAAGTAAGTGTCGTGAGGGGCAAAATTTGGAAACTGAAACACAAGATGAACATCAGGTCTTTCTGATTACAACTCAAAATAATAAAACACTGCAATATTTTTTTTAATAATACGTTAAATGACGTATGTAAACTGAAGAAGAAAATAAACGTAAAATAAAAAATATGATGGATAAAAATTGCCTAATTAATATCATCAACAAAAAATATAACGGGTGTGACGGTTTGGAAAAGGGTCTTGTTTATCTCGAAACGTCCGTCCTTAAATTTAAAACCAATTAAATTTTGTCAACTTTCTGAATCCTTTCCACATTTTAAAACGATTTATTAGGTACTTGGGAAAAATATATTTAGACAAAATAATAATTAATTAATTTGCGTTATCCTGCCAAGGTTTTAATTAGTTTTAAAAACATGTCGGTCGTGGTGACTCTGAATAATCCCTAAATTATAGCGTTTTATTAATTTATTTTATTTGTGTAATACAATTTATTTCTTTGACCGTTTTAGTTCTTCAAATTTCCGTAATATCTTGCAAGTTTCACTGTTTTCATAAGAGATATCACAACTCAGTCACGAGAGCTTATGAATAGGCTTTGATTTTACCTTTCACTCTTCTTTTTCAGACTTTTCTAGTTCAATGCTGGACACAGGTCTTATGAAGAATGCGCCAACTAGTATGCATTAATGCGCCTGTACGTGCGTTCATGTGTGCGTCCATTTCTTTGTATGTACATGCATTTTATGATGTTATTTGAACGTATGTGTATGTGTATGTGTAATGTGATAATATTGCATAAAAGAGGACAGAGATCACAAGCATTGTTTTATTTTGCCATTATAACGATGTTTAGACCAAAATCAATTTGAGTAAAATTGTAAATAATAAAATAATACTTCAAGTTTTACTAAACACTAATATCTGAAAGGAAAAGCATTGAGATAAGTACCTACTATCTCGCGGGATGCCGTAGAATACCAAACGATAAAGTACTAGCATTTGCTTTTACTATTTGAGTCCGACTTTTTTAGATCTATCAATATCAATCTGCGATTCTTTTTAACTAAGACAGTGGCGATGGGCATTGTGTCAAAAGCGATCATGAAAATATTGTTCATACATTTTATGATTATTGTAGCAAAAAAAATTTATAAATAAAATATTTCATTCTAAAAATAACTTACAGAATTTTACTTTTCATAAATTATAATATGTGTTATCTCTGTTTTTTTTTAATATTAGAGGTATAAGTTCGACTTCATAAGGAACTTGGTATAAATATTCCTAAATGAATGATTCCTATTTTCTATGGTGTAATAATATAATTTCATAGCGAGGGTAACTTAATGACTTAAAATGTCTTGGAAAGACATTCGTTTTAATTAATTACAATCTATCTAGTATTTACTGTTGAATCTTTACCATTTCCTCACATTTCCCCTGTGTCGCTTCCTACGAAACCTACATGAAAAGACGTACTATGATATCCTGCTATTATAGTCAGATAATAGCACGAAGAAAACTTTGGTCATTCTTTATAATTTTTAGAGGTATAAGGGTAAATTTGAAGATTTAATGATTCTTAAAATGTTTCAAACATTCTAGAACGTCGTAATATAGACGTAACAAATTGAGTCAAGGATACGCATTTTCATTTAGTTCTCTTTTCCAATGGATAGATTATGTTAAATATTTACATCTACCCAAAATGTGAATGACAATTTCAGCAGGCCCAACAGAGTGAGAAGGCATCATCGCACTTACTTTTTTTATATTTCATAGTAATATTATGAACTGCTTTTTTAAGGCTCTAATCCAAATATTTAATTACGAATATTTATAAAAAAAATGTTAAAATTTATAATGTTTTAAAAACGATTGTTTTGTCGCATACTGGAGAAGTATCTATTTTTATAAGTTATGCAAGTTTTGGAATAACATATAATGAGTTATCATAATGTGAAACTCAAGCAAAAGACCGAATACGCGAAGAGAGGCCTTTGCTCATCCGTGGGTCAGGATAAAAATAAAACAGATATGTATAAATATTACACTAACCGAGTTTTTGACTCAAATGTGTGGTAATTGTATCCGCTTTGCCTATTTTATAAAGACGCTCTAGTATGTTTGCAGTAAACTGAGCCGTTGTGTTTGCGCAGTATATTTCTTGCGCAGTTGAAAAATCCCAACATTCCATATCCGAACGGGTTCCGGTTTTGTCGTGGCAGGGGGGGGGGGGGGGCTAAGTAGCCGTGGCTTGGTCACCTGCGGTAAACAGAGAGGAACCCCTTGACTGGCCCGTGGTGTAGGGTCGGCCTGAGGTGGCCACTCCGAGTGGGCTTGGCGAGTCCACTTCGGATGTGTGTCGGTGGGCTGCGGCGAGAGCGGTGCCCTATCCCCCAACCGCTGCAGCTGAGGTGGAGTCGCGGTGGAAGAGGAGTGTTGGTATGGTGATGCGCCACTCGCCCTATCCTCCGCGACTCTGACGGGGCCACACTGTTAATTGATGCGGTGGTTGTGAGGCTGTGGGGGAAGAGGAGTGTTGGTATTGCGTGGCGTCGCTCTCCCTACCCTCCGCAGCCGAATCTTGGCTTTCGGCGGAGCCATAAACCAGAGCCGCCGCTGGGGTAAGGAAGGCTGGTGCTTCTGACTGCTGGTATTTCCTGGCCCCATGGCCTTTGCGCATTGGACACGGGGGCTTCCGTTCTGCATGTGAATTTAGAGACCGCGGAGGAGGGCGCGCCATGTGTTCTGGTGCGCTTTGTGTGAGAAGGAGATGAGGGAGGAGTAGTCCTCTCCCGAGGAGGAGCTGCCATGGGGCGGCCAGCGCTGGTGGGGCCGCGGATGTTTGCGGAAGCGTTCCCGTGGCCTTGTCAATATGCGACGAGGGTGGAACACCATGGGGTTTTAGTCGGCGCGAGTCCGACATAACCTGTCCTTGTCCCCGCTAGACGGGTATGCGTAGGCATTTCCCCGTGTAAAAAAGGGCCTCTTTCATGCTCGCTCTTCCATTTTACATAATAGCCATACTTGGCATGCGGTTTAGAAAACGCAGCAAAAGACATTTCACACTGTTGACGCTATGCCTCATCCCCGACCTGATAATTTTATATACCTACCCTAATTTGCCTCTTTCGATACCATAGAATTAGATAGAGTGCTGTTTTCTCTATAACCTAGACGGAACATAAAACTTTTCCATTAAATTCAATGAAATAAAACTTAAGCTGTAAGCACTATCACAAATTTCAATCTCCATAAAAATTCAAATAAATAAAATATTTAATTTAAACTTTTGCGTTTTATGGTTCTTTCAATACGTCTGTAGACTTTCTTTATTCACAACAAAAAACTGTGTTTCTCATGATTTGGGTGTGTATGCATATTATTTTTTAAATATTAAAGTAACAATAAATGTACTGTCTATATACGTCACACTGCTGGTACGAGCTTCCTCTCTTATCTGAGAGGGTTAGTCCATGGCTCCTCTCTAATGCGTGACATGTGAAATGTTACATTTCGTTTCTATACTTATACGTTATACACAGATTCAGTCAACCAGCACTTAAAACGGCACACAATTTTGGTGGTGCCGGCGGAGATGAAACTCGTTTTTTATATAGAATAGGGGTAACAACTAAGCACACTGCACACTTAATGGTAAGTGGTGCTGGCACATAGACATTTAGTATCGATTAAGAATCGAAATACACATGCGTTGTCACCCCTGAGGACTAAGATGGAATCCCCGTATTCAGTAAAAAGGGTCTCCGGATCTTTACACTCATCATACAAAATACAGCAGCATTGAGCTGCTATTTTACGCTGGTAGGTATTCAGAAAAAACATAGACATAGAAATTTAAAGCGAGTGCGTAACTCTGATCTACTACGGATTTATGTTTACAATGTTTTAACATTTTTCTTTTTTTTGGTTTACAGCAATCATATTTTATTTTATATCCAATATTCTTTTCATTAGCAATGGCTGTCCGTCTTCATAAATTATTTCAATACATTGATGGCTTCAAATCTGAACATAACCTGAAAGGCTTTCTTCATGTGGGTAATGACTACGCAGTTTTCCTCAGAGTCCCTAAATCTCACGACCAGTATCTCATTTACGAACTATATGAAACAAGACAAGCTAGGGATATCAACACGGACAAACCGAACCTACTTGCAATATCAAAAGTACCTGTAAACTATATACGTGAACAACTTAACACGTTTCATATTGAACTTTATAAATCGAAATATGAAGATAGTAATATTATTCCTGGAACAAATGTAAAGACGTTAAGGGAGTGGCAAATAGATCAATCACTTTCGTATAATAATACAAACGGCTTGATTTTAGCTGACCAACCAAACATACTGCGAACTGTCTTGTGAATATGGTAAATTCAAGAAAATATTATTCTCTTAACATAAATTTTGAAAGTATCTTATTTCTGTATCAAAACTCTTAAGAAAACTAATATCACTTATTATTTTAATTTCATATTTTACCATAATGCTATAAATTTTCATGTTTTTAATATAACTTTATTAAAAGTGCGCAGAAGTATTCCGGTCGGGCAACAAATTCACTATTAACGTGCTCAAATGGTTGCACTCTGAGCAGATAAAAGATCTATCATACCACCATATCCGCTAAATACCAACTCACCTTTAACTTTAGATTCAGACTAAACATTAGACGGTTAATCCAGCGTTCACCAGTTGACTTCAACTGCCCGGCGTCAACGGGTGGACAACAGATTATCAATAAGTCTACAGCTCAGCATCGATTATCAGTTACACATTTGATTCAAATTAAATCACCTAGTATAGAAGAAAATTCAGAACATGGGAAATTAGACACATTAAGTACAACAATTTCTAAACAGAAACAAAAAAAAAGTAAAAATATTACATGAGAAGTTATGGGCAATCAACAACTTAATTATGGTCAACTGATCAGGTACACGTCTTGTTAATATCTTATAACACTGCACGACAAATAAGAAGATGTGAAGTAATCAAGCGCAGCTTAGACTTAGTAAGCGTGAATAAGATTAATTAAACCTCATGAACATTAATCATTGATCCGAAAATTCGCGTAGTAAGACGTTCTTAATACTAAAGGTTGCGAGTAAATGTTTTCGAAATAGGCAGTTTTTAAATTATAAACGAAATAAATACAAAATAATAATGTCTTTATAAAATGATAATCTTTATACATAGTTTCCTGGAACATTTTAACGGAACACATACCGTGTAGTAGCAGTGTAAGAATATATACCTACCCCACATCATCCCGTGGGTGTCGTACGAGGCGACAGAGAGAAATTGAAACATGTGATAGGCAGCAGCATCTTTGTGATATCAACTCAAAATAATAAAACAAACTGTGGTCAACTCACATGCCAAAAGTGGCAACTAGGTCAAAATCCCCTCTATGAGGCTATCTCAGATAGGGACTGATGTTCAGCAGTTGACTTTTATAGGCTGTAATAGATGGATGGATGGGTGGAACGAAACACTAATCTTACATTGCATGCACATTCTCGTTCGTACCTAAAGGTGATTTATTAAATTTAGTACATAAAAAGCCACTTAAATACAAATACTTCAAACAAATGGTTATGGTAGTTTGATGAAAATTTTCCTGGCATAATTACTTCTGTTGTATAGCTGAAAATCGATGACAACAAACGAAAGATGTGAAAGATCTGATAGATAGGGAAATATAATTATTGCTACTTTCTTACCAAAATACAACCTGTACACGCCCCTAGCTGCCCCAACAAAGATCAAATATTCCGGGGCCCATCATCGGTAGATTTGACGGACAACTAAGGGTGGGGCCCAACGGCCTATGGAGACTTATCATTCTACACAATAGATATAAGGCTAGGTAAATAAATATTACGTACCTGGTTCCGAAGCTAAGACTGCCCCAAGGCTCAGTCGGGCGGTAGGTAGGTGTAGGTGCATGTAAGTGGTGTGTAGTAGTGTTTATATATGTGACCTTACCCAACTGAGGTGATAGGGCAGCGGCCTGGTCCGATGCTGCCCCACAATGTTGTATCACTCCAGTGGACGTCACCAATTGAGAACTTCTTTCTTCATTTCACTGTTTCAGTCTATCAACTTTATTGTACATTTAATTAACTTCCAACTCAACTAAATTCAACGTTCATCGTAATCAAACACGAGACACCCGATACAAATAACGAACAGTCGTTCAAAGTTCAATATTCAAGGTTCGGTTCATGTAGCACCAAATTACAAACAGGGAAGAACGCGATCTCTTCTCGAGTCACAAAGTTCAGCGTTACAAACAACAAACTAAATTCCTTCGTACAATACTAAATACTACGCCCGCGTTAAGACTCAAAATCAGCATAGCTGACACGCAAACTAACTACATAGTCAACACACAAAAGGCACTTTACGCGACGGTACAATTAAACATTAACTCTAACTTTAACCTTAACTTCCAAAAACAATTAACCGGGCCACGCCTCGAAATGGAATGCGAGCATCAAATTCAAGACCGTATATACACTCGGCGTGCGCGCAAGGATCCACGTCACACAAGCAAGTTAAATATTGCAAAATTTACTTCAACATACAATCACTATACATTTGACGTAATTACTTGCAACACTAAATTACTTAAATCAGTCAAACTCAATACAAGCCTCTTGTCACGAAACGTACAACTTAGACAAACTAATTCGAGGCGGTCCACACGAAACCAAAATACAATAGCAAATTAAATGCGCACAAATAATCAAATTCTAGACCATAACACCCAAAAAACTGGTCGCGCGAAATCGATGCAGCGGTCACCAAAATACGCTAATCGACCGCACCGCCGCTGTCAAGCTACTAACCTCGCACTCACGAGGCCGAACGCCAAAAAGTCGCATACCGCTGCCCCCCTCCCCCCCGGCGTCACGTACGTCACCTCACACCATCGGGCGATGCGCCCAGTCGCGGTGGGATGGCGTTTCAAATGCCCATTTTTGGGCCTTAACGCAACCCTTCTGCTAAATCCTACATTTTTTATATAAAACAAACCATGTCTAATTGTAACATGGTAATAAAAGAAAAAAAAATAATAAACATTTTAAAAGGGTACTAAAAGGACACTCAAAAAGCTAAAAGAAAATCTCTCGTTGGTTTTTGAAAAATATTTGTCGATCAAGGAGGCATAATTCACAATACATTAATGTTTATCTATACATATAAATAAATTAAAGTGTTTGTCAGCAATATCTAAATAATTTCCTTTTATTGAGTTAAAGGGATGGTGTGTGTGCCATTAAGCCACGACTAAAAAAAAAATTATATTTGTATATATATCTGTCCGGGTTAATGTTTGAAAATAACCTATGTAATGACACTTCACGAATATATAGAATGCCATGCGCGGTGTGATTTAGAAAATTTTATATCCTAATGACTTCGAATATCGAATTTTATTTAATTTTTAGCTTGAAGTTTCACTTATTGATATCTTAGGTCTTTTTAAAAGGTCATTAGCGATATAAAATATGTAAAAAAAAACACCCTGTCCGGTTCATAAGGCTGCTTAAAAGTATCGTTATGTCATTTCGTTTATGAAATTGTTTCAGAGACTTTTTTTATAGAAATGGCCTGACAAACGAACTTACTAGCCTTTTGATATTAAATTACTACTGCAGTCAATGGATAACTGCAGGTAACTTCAAACAATGGAGGCTACAGATGCGTTGTCACCTCTGAAGACTAAGATGGAATGACATTCATAGCCAATTACTCTCTAGACTGGAAGACACCAATGCAACTACTATTTGGTTGCAGAAATGGAATATGTTTGGTGAATAAAACTCCTATTTATAGATCAAAAACTTACAACGGAATTAAGGTTCATTCATTTTGTCAGTCTGTAAAGTTAACGATCGAATATTTTGATGTATGTTTTGACACGATATGTAACGAATAACGAAATGTTTTATAAATTAAAGAATCGGACTGATGTCGAAACCTTAAATTAACGAAAGATAATCCAGGTAAAGGTGACAGAGGAAAATTAAACCGAAGATGGGCAGTAGCAAATTCCTGAAAATAACTCAAAATTATAAAAAAACTGTGGTTGTTACCCCGCTTGCCAAGCGTGAGAACTATGACCAATATTCCCTATATAAGACAATCTATGGTTTGTCTGGTTCAGTCTTTGGTGCAGCAGTGGACTTTAATAGGCGGTGATGAATGAATGAATAAAGTAAAGTAAAGTTGCAGCCTATTTACGCCCCACTGCTGGGCACACAGGCCTCCTCATTTCTGAGAGGGTACTTCACATGTCTTCGATTGATTTTTTTTCTTATTTATCAGACATGCAGGTTTCCTCACGATGTTTTCATTCAACGCCGAGCACGTGGTAAATCGGCACTTAAAATTGCAATTAACAATTTCAGTGGTGCCGGCGGGGATCGAACCCGGGTTGCTCGAGTACTGTGAAGCTTACAGCGAGCGCTAACCATCTGAGCTACCATGGAACGAATGAATGAATGAGTACAATTCGTATGTAATAAAACAATACGATACATAGAACGAAACGGTCCATGAATACAGTAATCGGTCTTAAGACGAACTGATGATTGCTTTTTCATCGAAATATAAATAACGTTATAAAATTTTAAAATAAATACGCTTTATTATCAACTAGCTGTGCCCGCGGCGTAGCTCGCGTATACAGGTTTTACATAAACAATTTGTCGTTTAGGTAAGAGAATATTAAACGATTTATTTCATTACTGTATCAATAAGTGGTAACTAAATAAATCATTATCATCAAAGTTCTAAGTCGTTTATGATAGAGCTTCTGTGTAAACGACGTGAGAAGTAGGCTTAGCCGGGGTGTACACTAAAAGGTTACGGGGGCTACTAACGCGGGAAAAAGCAACATAGAGTTGGCCATGTGCAAAACAGTCAGTACTGAGGTACACTCCTACAACGCGTAAAGTTTGACTTTGCGCTTTATTTACGGTCATCGCATAACACACGCTCACTGTAACTGGGAACTGAACGCGCTTAATACTGAAAGGAAAGTTACTTCTTAATAGAGGGTTTTTGGGCAGTGCTGCCAGATAACAAAAAACTAATTCAGCTCTAGGACAACACAAAAAGCGCTAGATTTCTTGAAAACAGCGCTTTAAAAAAGCCCTAGATTTCGCGTTAAATTAACTACAAACAAAGTTTGTGTTTTTTTATATAATCATAATAAAGAAAACAACATTAAGTTTTTTTTCTGGCAATATTTTTTTTGATGTATCAATACTTCGCATGACATCGACTTATAATTATGGCAATTGCTGTCAACAGTAGTTAGTACTGTACGAACAATAAAAATGTCATTA